TATTAAATTAAGATACTGAGAGTAAGAATGCATTATGTTTCACCGCCCTCACGGAGTACATTGTGTGTATGTGGGCATGAATGCTGGAAACCTCTCCTTCTGATTTGCAGTGTATGGGTGAGAGAGAATAGTCATTTCTGAAATGTCATCCAGATTAAAGGCTAGGGGACTGATATGTAGAGGTTTTAAAATGCCTGTGGTGCAGTTTGCCCTGTGTCCTCTATACTGTGGTAAAAGTGTACTCTACCTTGTCCTCTCATATTTATCACCAACTCTCAGAAAAAAATATGAATGCTTCGGCTCCTTATGATAAAGGTGGATCCCTGCAAGCTAAGGGCAAAGATATTTACAGTATGAGATGGAGGTCTGTGTATGTTTGACTGTGAGAATGGTGTACTTTAGAAGGTGTACTTAAAAGGTAAACGTGTTTTTGTTGGGGTTTTTTTCCATTGTTTTCACATGGCTGGGAGTCTATCCAGATTACCCGATTTAATTTGTTTCACCAATCAAAATTGCTCCCAAATAAATAAACTGCTAAATAAGTGGGTCATAAGTATGGAAGCCCATTTCAGTCATGTAAGAAAAAAAAATCATGCTTTGATAAATCATAATTATAAAAAAAAATTATATTTATGACATAAAAGTCAAAATTATGGCATACTAAGTCATACTAATTATGTGATATAAAAAATGGAATTAAAATAAAAACATAACTGACATCAATTGATATTATATAAGATAAGACGTTATGAAAATAATTAAAACGATGACAAAAATTACTTTTATAATTGAGATAAAAAGTTGTAGTTATGATATGCTAAGTCATAATTATAAGGGGAAAAGTCATTAACACCTTTGTCATAATTTTGGCTTTTAATGTGGTAATTATGACACTTTTTAATGTGCTTAAATTTGACTTTTTATCATAATTATGATTTACCAAAGCACTTGGTAAAAAGCACAAAACTCAAAATGGACTAAGAGTTACAGGATTTGTTTGTGAATCAGATTGTTTGATTTTGCATGTAACTTGTGAGGAAAATAGAAAACGCATTTTGTGCATATTTTATTGCATCACATACAATACAAACCCTAAAGCCACATTTGGCTGGACTGCACAATTGTAATTCATTTGCATAATTACATAAAGTATTTTTCTGGCTGTAATGCATGCGAACTAGGAGCACTGTGTTAGATTAGCTCCAAAGTAACTAGAACAGAGTCCGGCATTCTGCATTAACTAAAACATAGTTTCATTTACTTGTTAAAAGCAGCTTTAATGATTAATCGCATTTGCACTTCAGATACGTTTACAGGACAATGGTGTGAATTGAAAGTGAATTGCCTCTGTAGAAACTAAGTGGCGAAATTGTTGTGGGGAGAGGGAGTGAGCAAGCTGTGCTCTCAAATGAATGCAGACTCTAATTGGACCGTCAGTTCCTGGCTCAGAAGACCAACAGGATGTGTAATCTGCTTAGGCTGGTGGACAGCGTTGTGTTAATTGTTTAGCGTGTTTGAGATTGAGGTAGAGGAAGCTTTGGGCTGTCTCCTGGCGCTCTCTAATGAAGCTGAGGAAATAAAAGACCCCGACAACAGAGTGGAATTACATAATCTGCCTTAGTATGGAAAGGGACAAAGATACAGCAGGCGCCACACAAATTCAACACACTTACACAACAATATTCTGCATGCACAGCGCGCACATAGAGAGCCGCATCTGACAAAGTGTGACCTCAAATGGAGCTCTCTTTCACGCCGCCTTGTGCTTGAATGAGCAAATACACCTTGCCGATTTGAACATTCAAAAGATTTTAAAGCATTCAAGCACAAGAAGACGTGAATAACAACTCCATTCAGTGTGTTTAGTGCACGCAGACATCAGGCAACGCGCGAGTCCTGAATTGAGTTTTTTCCGCGTCTTATTGCGCTTGAACAGACAAATACATACAAAAGTATGTGAAAATACCCGTCTTAGCGAGTATCCTCAAAAACAGTCGGTTATGTCTTAAGTGAACTTAAAAAGATGAGAATTGGATGTATATTATATTGGATTCATGCATTGTCTCTTAAAGTGACCGTGCCTCATTTACCAGCTGCTGTTGGTGTCCTTAATGTTAATTAAGTATTAATCTATATTTAATTTATATAGTGAAGAATATGCAATGTTATTTTGCACTTGCTTATTCATTTCTGTACCTGAACACATACAAACCTAAAGCACCGTTTAATTTGTATCTTTGTTCTATTTATTTGTGCTGTTGCTTGTAATTTGTTCATTTGTTCTTATTTACTAACTGTTACTAACTAATGTTTGAACTTTATATTTGTTATGTTAATAGTTTTTGCTGTGGTAACGAAACTGGATTCAAGAATTGTAAAATTTAACTGGTATTAAAAATGTTGGTATCATATAAGCTTATTTATTAGAATACAAGATAACAGGGGTCAAAAACAACTATTACAACAACTATTTTAATTTTTGTGGCAGGGCCAGTGAAAATGTTGGCAGGGCAAGTAAAAATTTGAACCACTGGCCTGACCGGGCCAGTAGAAAAAATCCTTAGCGTTGAGCCCTGGAAGGGCAGGGACTTGGTTCAATGCATCAGTTATTAATTGTTTTTTTTTTAGATGTGGGCATTACAGATAAATGTGAGGTTGAATGATTGGAGAAGTCCTGCATACATCACCGGAGAGATGTCTGGTTATGACATTTTGATTAAGGCCAAAAATTTTCTTAAAAATGAAACTTGCATGGATGAATTATTCACATTAAGACCCATCAATATAAATAAGGTATGGATAGCGTACATTTTATTTAATGCCAACTTAAACATCACAGATTTAATATTTAACAAAGTTATTCAGCATTTGCAAAAGAACATATTTACAAAATAAGCTATGCGGTTAGTTGTCTATTTGGTCATTAGGAAGGAAACAGATGTTCATATGCACTTGTACATGGACATGCAATATATATATATATACACTGTGTGCACAATTATTAGGCAAGTTGTATTTTTGAGGATTAATTTAGTTATTGTACAACTACAGTGCTCTTGGTCAATCCAAAATGTTAACAAACCCTCAAACCTGAACATTTAAGTAGTAAAAGTGAAGTTTTGGCGTTCTTAAGAGAATATCTACATGTACACCGTTATTAGGCAACTATTAGTGTGCAGAATTATTATGCAACTAAATGTGCAATATATATATATATATATATATATATAAACAAATGTACAGATAAAAACTACTAAAAATACCTCTGCTAAAAATATTAAACCCTAAAAAAAAAACTAGTAAATTAAACCTAGCAAAACATCTTGATCTTTATTTTATTTCTTTATTCTTTATTCTTCTTCTTTTTTCTTTTTTAATTAACAACCTTTTTGTTTTCTTGATCCACAGTCCATTTATTTTTAATGTTTAATAATTATTATGACAACTGCATGTTCAGATTCATTACTGATGTACGCCATCTAAATAGTTTTTTTGTCCCTCTGCAGTTGTGACTCAGAAAACCGTTACCTTGGCAACCCCCTCAGAGGAACCTGTTACTGTGAGTATGCTCTATTTGAGCTCTGACCTTAAAGTAATCCTGTTGTACCTTGAAAATTCATCTGACTCTGCAGACACTTTCAAACTCAGAGGCTGTCTGCCATTTAATGAAATTAGACTCAGGGGACTTAAGATGCTGGGAAACCTGGACGAAAATTGCCATGGGCTGATGCACAACCACACAACAAGATAAAAGCTGTGGATGAGACTTTCTGATTTGGCAGAAATCAAAAAGTAGAGTTAGATCTCTTGAACATCTCGGAAGATCTGCAGCAAACCATGTTGAAGTCTGATTGTGTGTGCAGGGCTCAAATGCACAGCACTAGGGGGCAGTCATGTATATCAGAAACAGCGTATTCTCTGGGTATACATCTGTGTTCCTCTCTTTCACTTAGTTTTTTTTTTTTGCAGTTACTATCAGCAGTCATCATGGAGTCTGAAAATGCAGTCAGTAGCGTTTAGGACATCAAATTTCACTCCGTTTGCAAATCCCGCCAACATTATCCCCATTGTCATCAATCAGGATTAAATAAAGCCTTCAATTTATCAAACAATTTCCATCCAATCCGTTCCCTCTGCGTCTGTTAGATGAGGCGCTTGTACTCGCAGGCTTCCGGCCCAATTGCTATTTAGAAGAAAATGTATCACCCGCCCATATTTTCTCAAATAGTGTCCTGTAGGGGGAAGTGTTGCTGGAGAGTGGGCCGCAGGCGACGATATAAGACTGGTGAGAGTGTCAAACCCTGTTAGAGTGAGTAAGCAAATGATTCGATCTAATTAAAGACATGAGCAGAAGTTTGGTAGACTTGGATCCAGTAGGCAGTGTGAGCTTTCTCACACTCCCTTGTGCATTTCCGGAGACAGCCCTAGCAAGTAGCAAGCGTGCTCAGTGTGTTCTGTCAGTGTTACTTGACTCACCATCAAAGATTGATCCTGTAAAAATAGACTTCTTGGTCATGCTAAATTTTCTCAGATTGGTTTACACTCTCACTCTGACCAGCCCTCCATGTATTTGCAGTGTAACAGCAGTGGGGAGTGTCTTTAATGACCTGAATGGAGTTCATTGCTCTGGTTTCTGTTGCGTTGTAATGTTGAAATGGAAATTTAATGTTTCCATTTTATCATTACAAAGTTCTGCCTTAGTTGATTCAGTAGATTCAGATTCATTTGTCTACTCTAGAACACTTAATTCAATGCACAAGAGAGCCATTTGTTCTTGTTGCTGTCAGAAGCGACCACAAGCCATTTTTGCATTTTGTTTGTTACCATTTATAGACATTTCAAAACACAACTTTAAAACAAAAAAAGAAATTAATATTATTCAGCAAGAATGCATTAAATTGATCAAAGTGACCGTAAAATATTCTTAATGTTCATAAAAGAATCCTGAAAAAGAAGATCACTATTTCCACAGAACTATTATGCAGCACAACTGTTTTTAATATATATATATTTTAATATAAGAAATGTTTCTCTATCATTGTTATATTTAACATTTTACATTACATTTTCATTTTAAAAGTCACACTATTTGTGTTTTTACTGTATTTTTGATCAAATAAATGCAACTTTGGTAAGGATAAGAAACTTATTTCACTCAAAAATTAAACTGCTGTCATCATTTAGCTACTCTTATGTCATTTTCAAACCTGTATGAATTTCTTTTTTCTGTTGAATATAAAAGAAGATATTTTGAGAAGATAACCAATGTTAACCAAAACTGTTTGGTTACCAACATTCTTAAAATTATCTTCATTTAATTTCTACAGAAGAAAGTCAGTTATACTGGTTTGGAACAACATGAGGGTGAGTAAATGATTACAGAAGTTTAATTTTTGCTCAGACTATCCCTTTAGATGTGTGTTTGAGAGAATGAATTCCAGACTGTAGCAACAGTCGGACAGGAGAATGATCACAAAATTGGTGCACATAGTCTATGATTAGTTGTGTAAGGTCTTACACAATAGTTGAGAAAATGACAGAGAACACAAAACTTAAAGTTTTTGATGCATGCGGGATGACAAGCTTATCTCTTGGCCTAAAATGTTATATTCCAAGTTTTTTATATTCTCATTTAATAACTTACAACTTTATGGCTGACATCCCTCTCAGAACAGCTGTCTGACTCATGAAACTCACTGACATTCACTTTTCTGTTTCATCGTTGAAAAAAAAATCCAGCATATATCACCATAATGATTTAAGAGCAAGCTGGGGGATGGTTCAAGTTTTGTCACCTATAGATAGTTGCATCTGAAACTAATTTTAAAAGTGACACCGTTCCTTCTGGAAGGATGATTTAAAAGAAAGAAAAGATCAGCACTATTCAGTGTCTGAAAGTTACATGATCTTTCAAGCAAAAATAAAGGAAATGAGTGAATCTATGTTGCTTCAATGTCACATCTGAATTGATTAAAAGCTTATAAAGACATCTTTCGAGTTGATGGGGAGTGAAAGAGATGTTTACAATACCATATTGTGATTCACACAAACAGCTGTTCTCTGGGAGATGCCTGTGGCAGCATTCAGTCATTTAACAGCCCAGGAGTTAAGAAAACAATCCAGACATATCTTTGTCTTTGAAATTATGCTTTAAAGAGATGCTAAGACCTTGAAAAAGAATCAACTTACTGCACCTTAGGATCTTCCTTAGAAAATGGTCAAAAATTGGGAATTTAATGTTTAGTCTTAAACTTTTAAACCTTTAGGCCTAGTTCTGGTTAACGATAAGTTCTTTTATGTAACTAAGAAGCGTGGATTTCAAATACTTGTAGTCGTCTTAAAAACAATTGAGCTTAATCAGAGTGCATGCTTATTAAAGCAATGACACACTCAGAAAGGAGGTATTAATTTAGTGCAATTAAAGTGACTGATGATTCATATAGCTCTTCAAAGTAGCCCTCTTATTATTGCAAGAGTGAATGTGTACCACTTTTTTCGTGATGTTCTTTAAATGGAAACCTTCAGCGATTAACATGACAGAGAATTGCATGGTGTGGTTCATGATGGTGTAAAATGTGATGATTAACAATAGGGTTTTGATCTGAACAGATAACTTGCTGATTGATTACCAGTTCACCTTCAGTCTGCTTCAAGAAGATGACCAGCACTACACTGCCATTAACTTCATGGCCACTCCTGAACAGGTCAGTCACAATCTACTTATCTGAGAACAGAAGCAGCTGAATGGTTTGACCACCTTGTGGTGATCATAGAGAAGTCTTCTGTTCACCAATTAGACAACATAAATTTAATAAAAGGCATAGTTCACCCTAAAATGAAAAATGTATCCCCCTCATCATTTATTATGACTTTCTTCTGGGAACCAAAAAAAGAGAGAGATTTACTAATTTTTCCGCTTTCCAGTGCTGACTACCTGTATGTGTCAGATAGTCAGATGTATTTTGTGTCAAAGTATTTTTAACGTTACACCTACATTGCTGTATGGAAGTCATACTGAAAATAATTATTTTGCAGACATCAACTTTGTTTTCTCTTTCCATTTTGTAGACCAGCAAGAACTTGGACATGTCCATCAATGCATCAAACAATTTCAATCTGAACATCACTTGGTCAGTGGGGTCAACAGGTACCGATTACTCTTTCCTAAAGATCATTCTTCAGTCAAATATTTGCCTCTGTTTTGTTGTATAATAGTTCTTGTTTTTGTAGTCGTAAACTAACATGTTTGTTGAGCAGATCTTCTTTTTTACATTCATGCATTCAAAAACAGGTTGACAGTACAAGGATGCAGTGTCTCGAGACACATTTTTTTAAAAAGAACTATTGTTAACTTGGAGCATTTCAACAACATACTCAAAAAAAAAAAAAACAGGAGACACATTTCAATACACAACTTTCAAGAGCTTTTACAGTGTAAACTGTCAGCGTAAGTAAAGCATCACTGTTAAAAAAATAACTAAAAACAATACAAGAAAAAAGTTATATCGTTCAAAAGTTTGGGGTTTGTAAGGTTTAAAAAAACGAATACTTTTATTCTGCAAGGATGTATACAATTGATCAAATAACAGTAAAGACATTTTTCATGCTCTAAAAAGATTTCTTTCAAATAAATGCTGTTCTTTTGAATTTTCTGTTCATCAAAAAAATACATAGTTTAGGTGCTGCTGAAAATTCAGTTTTGCTGTCACAGGAAAAAAAACATTCTAATACATATAACAATAGAAAACATTTTTATATAAAATTTTATTTTAATAATATTTCACAATTTTACTGTATTTTTTGATCAAATAAATGCAGCCTTGGTAAGAAAAAGAGACAACAAAAAAATCTTACCAACCCTAAAGTTTTAAATGCTGGTGTAAACAAGTCAACACTGCTAATCAGTTAGGTGTGCGTAATTGACCGTAGTTATGCATTCTGCGTTAGCATGATGCCATAATGTATCTTGACACATAGATGCTAATGCATTCCTTGTTTGACCGCAGTGTGATCCTGGGTGTGTTGGGTATTTTACAATAGACAGACACTCAAGGACGTCGCCATTATCCTCTATTGTTTATTTATGAAATCACCTTTTCGTCCAAATAGTCACCAGCCAGTTTTTTTAATGTGACTTTGACATTCACGCTCTTCTTTAACAGGTTCACTCCTCTCCTTCTCGACCTCCCGGTTCCCCTCATTTAATATTTGGAGTGGTGTCTTTCTGTTTAAAGACACTCTCCCCAGAGAAAGGCTTCTAACAATAGTCTAGCGTGCGGCTCTGAATTCTAGGGCTGTGGTGTCTTCAGGAGCACTGAACGATTTCAATTAAGATAAACATTGCCACGTAGTGGCATTTGGGTTGTCATTTTGAGGGCTTTGTTTCATAGTGCTGGTTTGGAATGACGATTGGTGGGACTTAAGTGTTTCATTCGAGGACTTCAGAAAAGTTGAAAAAGTCCTGATAAAATAGGACAAAGGCCGCTTTTCTTTTCAGCTCCTCCAAGTCATTTTGTGTTAAATTATGGTTTTATACCATGTTAAAAATAGATAATGAAATTGTCACACTGAGAGGTTGATTTAAAACTCATTTTCTCCATGAATAAAAAACATCAACAAACAGCTAAAGTGTATGCGGTCAGCCTTGTTGATTACTGGTGCAATTCATTGCATTTGCATTGCTCTCAATCGCCCTTATTTAATAGCTCAGAAAGCATTAAGTGGCGGTCACACTACATTTTAAGCATGCATAATTTTTCAGACCGAACAATAAATATAGAAAAGATTTGATGTCTTGCTCCTGTTTTGAATAAGTATTCAGAACCACCAACATGCCGAGGTCACTCTGTGACCCTTTATGGTCAATTCCTTAATTAAGAGAAGTTATGAGGTGCATCAAATTCCATTTCTGATTGCCTCCTTTATATCTGAATTAATCTCATTCTTTTCTCTTTACAGCTGGGACCATCTCTGGGGAAGAGATCCCCATTGTGTCCAAGACCAACATCAAAGAGTACAGAGACAGTTTCTCTTGTGAGAAATTCAGTTTTCACAGCAATCCTAACATCACTTTCTATGTATACGTCAGCAACTTCTCATGGCCAATCAAAATACAGGTGAGGACACGTTTTGACTCGTTTGGCTTCTACTGAATACACTTTAGGAGCCATTATTCACATGTTTCAGTATGTTAAGCTGTTTTTTAGTTTTGGGTAAAGCAGGGAACTTCCATCTCCTTTGTGAAATGGAAATCCACAAAAACAAATGTTTCTGAAAAGATCCAATGATATGGAAATCAATTATTCCGTTATGCACTGGGATATGTTTGCATCTTATGGTCCATAAAATTAAATCAGCTCTTAAGTGGCAATGTGTTACGTTGCCAGTTGCCTAGACGACTGACATAGAATGACATTGTTGGAGTAATGTGCAGACCCATGCTATCTGTCATGGAAAAACATTTATGTTGAATCTCCACTGGGGTACATTACTCTTATTTTGAACGATGTTTGCACTCTTTATTGCCTGCAATCAAACAGAAGGAGAGATATACATGCGAGTGCACAGGTAGTTTGATTTTAGAAGGAAGAAAAATATCTTGTCAAGATGAACTTCTAGCCTCTATTTATCTGCATCCATTTAAAACCTATAGTAATTCAAATTGGGTCTTTTATGTGTTCCTTAAAATGGCAACTATACACTACCATTGAAACGTTTGGGGTCAGTAAGTTTATTTTTAAAATAAATTAATACTTTTATTTCGCAAGAATGTGTTAAATTGATCAAAAGTGACAGAAAAAAGTATTTATAATGATTTCTTTTTCAAGTAAATGCTGTTCTTTTCACTTTCTATTATTCAAAGAACAAAACAAAAAAGCACAACCTTTTTTTTCCCTGGGTAATAATAAGACATTTTTAGAATGATTTACCTATTTGGTCAAATAAATGCACTCTTGATGAGCATAAGAGACTTCTTTCAAAAGCATAAAAAGAAATCTTATCATCCCCAAACTTTTGAATGATAGTGTGGCATGAATGACCAGAATCACTGTAGCGGTTTGAGACCATTGAGACTTGAGGTTTATGCGTGTGCTGGAAGCTTTAGGAAATGTGCCGCAACAGAGTCTTATCCACCCTGACAGTCCCCTCCCTTTCTCTGACTTCTGAACACTGCTCTGAGCGTACCACCCAAGGCTCGATGACATCAGCACTGCATTATATGGTTGTATGGCTGGCTCTAATCAAGATCTTGCAGTGGAACATTTAGATCCTCAGCTTTGTGGATGTGGACCAGACATAGATGTGATCTGGCACAATGAACTCGCACCTCAGCTGTGACTCTGGTTTTAACAACATTATTCCAGTGTGAAATGTCATCGCTTAGACTTGTTAGACTTGGACACCATCACAGAACATATGTAACTTAACCATTACCGTTCATTGAGCTGTTCTTAGATTCTAAAGAAGTGAAGTGTTTCTGAATTCTGGGGCAATATGTATGATGTAGTTTTATTTTAGTTTTTTTATCATAGTTTATTTTTATATTATTATAGTATGCGTTAATATTTTGAATTAGCTTTTATTTTAGTTTTTTTATTGTTTTTATTTTTCATTTTTTTGTATATGTTTTTCAGTTTTAGTCGTTTTTGTTTTGATTTAGCTTTTGTTTTTATAGTTAACTTTCGTGATGTTCTTTAAATGGAAACCTTCAGCGATTAACATGACAGAGAATTGCATGGTGTGGTTCATGATGATGTAAAATGTGGTGATTAACAGTAGGGTTTTGATCTGAACAGATAACTTGCTGATTGATTACCAGTTCACCTTCAGTCTGCTTCAAGAAGATGACCAGCACTACACTGCCATTAACTTCATGGCCACTCCTGAACAGGTCAGTCACAATCTACTTATCTGAGAACAGAAGCAGCTGAATGGTTTGACCACCTTGTGGTGATCATAGAGAAGTCTTCTGTTCACCAATTAGACAACATAAATTTCATAAAAGGCATAGTTCACCCTAAAATGAAAAATGTATCCCCCTCATCATTTATTATGACTTTCTTCTGGGAACCAAAAAAAGAGAGAGATTTACTAATTTTTCCGCTTTCCAATGCTGACTACCTGTATGTGTCAGATAGTCAGATGTATTTTGTGTCAAAGTATTTTTAACGTTACACCTACATTGCTGTATGGAAGTCATACTGAAAATAATTATTTTGCAGACATCAACTTTGTTTTCTCTTTCCATTTTGTAGACCAGCAAGAACTTGGACATGTCCATCAATGCATCAAACAATTTCAATCTGAACATCACTTGGTCAGTGGGGTCAACAGGTACCGATTACTCTTTCCTAAAGATCATTCTTCAGTCAAATATTTGCCTCTGTTTTGTTGTATAATAGTTCTTGTTTTTGTAGTCGTAAACTAACATGTTTGTTGAGCAGATCTTCTTTTTTACATTCATGCATTCAAAAACAGGTTGACAGTACAAGGATGCAGTGTCTCGAGACACATTTTTTTAAAAAGAACTATTGTTAACTTGGAGCATTTCAACAACATACTCAAAAAAAAAAAAAACAGGAGACACATTTCAATACACAACTTTCAAGAGCTTTTACAGTGTAAACTGTCAGCGTAAGTAAAGCATCACTGTTAAAAAAATAACTAAAAACAATACAAGAAAAAAGTTATATCGTTCAAAAGTTTGGGGTTTGTAAGGTTTAAAAAAACGAATACTTTTATTCTGCAAGGATGTATACAATTGATCAAATAACAGTAAAGACATTTTTCATGCTCTAAAAAGATTTCTTTCAAATAAATGCTGTTCTTTTGAATTTTCTGTTCATCAAAAAAATACATAGTTTAGGTGCTGCTGAAAATTCAGTTTTGCTGTCACAGGAAAAAAAACATTCTAATACATATAACAATAGAAAACATTTTTATATAAAATTTTATTTTAATAATATTTCACAATTTTACTGTATTTTTTGATCAAATAAATGCAGCCTTGGTAAGAAAAAGAGACAACAAAAAAATCTTACCAACCCTAAAGTTTTAAATGCTGGTGTAAACAAGTCAACACTGCTAATCAGTTAGGTGTGCGTAATTGACCGTAGTTATGCATTCTGCGTTAGCATGATGCCATAATGTATCTTGACACATAGATGCTAATGCATTCCTTGTTTGACCGCAGTGTGATCCTGGGTGTGTTGGGTATTTTACAATAGACAGACACTCAAGGACGTCGCCATTATCCTCTATTGTTTATTTATGAAATCACCTTTTCGTCCAAATAGTCACCAGCCAGTTTTTTTAATGTGACTTTGACATTCACGCTCTTCTTTAACAGGTTCACTCCTCTCCTTCTCGACCTCCCGGTTCCCCTCATTTAATATTTGGAGTGGTGTCTTTCTGTTTAAAGACACTCTCCCCAGAGAAAGGCTTCTAACAATAGTCTAGCGTGCGGCTCTGAATTCTAGGGCTGTGGTGTCTTCAGGAGCACTGAACGATTTCAATTAAGATAAACATTGCCACGTAGTGGCATTTGGGTTGTCATTTTGAGGGCTTTGTTTCATAGTGCTGGTTTGGAATGACGATTGGTGGGACATAAGTGTTTCATTCGAGGACTTCAGAAAAGTTTAAAAAGTCCTGATAAAATAGGACAAAGGCCGCTTTTCTTTTCAGCTCCTCCAAGTCATTTTGTGTTAAATTATGGTTTTATACCATGTTAAAAATAGATAATGAAATTGTCACACTGAGAGGTTGATTTAAAACTCATTTTCTCCATGAATAAAAAACATCAACAAACAGCTAAAGTGTATGCGGTCAGCCTTGTTGATTACTGGTGCAATTCATTGCATTTGCATTGCTCTCAATCGCCCTTATTTAATAGCTCAGAAAGCATTAAGTGGCGGTCACACTACATTTTAAGCATGCATAATTTTTCAGACCGAACAATAAATATAGAAAAGATTTGATGTCTTGCTCCTGTTTTGAATAAGTATTCAGAACCACCAACATGCCGAGGTCACTCTGTGACCCTTTATGGTCAATTCCTTAATTAAGAGAAGTTATGAGGTGCATCAAATTCCATTTCTGATTGCCTCCTTTATATCTGAATTAATCTCATTCTTTTCTCTTTACAGCTGGGACCATCTCTGGGGAAGAGATCCCCATTGTGTCCAAGACCAACATCAAAGAGTACAGAGACAGTTTCTCTTGTGAGAAATTCAGTTTTCACAGCAATCCTAACATCACTTTCTATGTATACGTCAGCAACTTCTCATGGCCAATCAAAATACAGGTGAGGACACGTTTTGACTCGTTTGGCTTCTACTGAATACACTTTAGGAGCCATTATTCACATGTTTCAGTATGTTAAGCTGTTTTTTAGTTTTGGGTAAAGCAGGGAACTTCCATCTCCTTTGTGAAATGGAAATCCACAAAAACAAATGTTTCTGAAAAGATCCAATGATATGGAAATCAATTATTCCGTTATGCACTGGGATATGTTTGCATCTTATGGTCCATAAAATTAAATCAGCTCTTAAGTGGCAATGTGTTACGTTGCCAGTTGCCTAGACGACTGACATAGAATGACATTGTTGGAGTAATGTGCAGACCCATGCTATCTGTCATGGAAAAACATTTATGTTGAATCTCCACTGGGGTACATTACTCTTATTTTGAACGATGTTTGCACTCTTTATTGCCTGCAATCAAACAGAAGGAGAGATATACATGCGAGTGCACAGGTAGTTTGATTTTAGAAGGAAGAAAAATATCTTGTCAAGATGAACTTCTAGCCTCTATTTATCTGCATCCATTTAAAACCTATAGTAATTCAAATTGGGTCTTTTATGTGTTCCTTAAAATGGCAACTATACACTACCATTGAAACGTTTGGGGTCAGTAAGTTTATTTTTAAAATAAATTAATACTTTTATTTCGCAAGAATGTGTTAAATTGATCAAAAGTGACAGAAAAAAGTATTTATAATGATTTCTTTTTCAAGTAAATGCTGTTCTTTTCACTTTCTATTATTCAAAGAACAAAACAAAAAAGCACAACCTTTTTTTTCCCTGGGTAATAATAAGACATTTTTAGAATGATTTAC